TCTTGGGTTTTTAATGAATTGTTCCTATCCTTAATTGCTGTTTTCTCCTCTTTTTACAACCTGTAACTCTAAAATTCCAAGTATCTGTGTAGGCAGTGATTGTGAATAACAGTTTGTTTACCTAAATGAACTAAAGACTCTGATAAGACCATATGACTAAGAGACCAGACCTATTTTGATTATGTTTTCAGGGACTTTGCAGAGTAATTAGGGTGGCAGTATTAATAACAGTAAAAACAACATAATATGTGAAACACAGGCAAAGTGCTCAGCAATTAATGCTAACTTGTGACGTAGTGGAGGAAAGCATCATAAAAAATTTGGGCAACTGTGCAAAGTTTCATGGAAGAAGAGTGTCTTGTTCACTCCTTAAAGGAAAGCTTAAGACATAGAAGGGGCAACAAAGCCATGAAAACAAAACTACACTATCAAACAAAACTATAAGTAGTTTCAAGGAATTCCTGTGGAGGAATAGAAAGTAAGAAGCCTGGGCTATGTTTAGGAGAATGGTGTAAAATTACTTTACAGTGACCAAATAGCTGTGAATCTTGAAATATTGATCCAATTCACTATAATTGTAGAAGTATCTGACTTATAAAAATTCTAATTCCTGTAAAGAATATAAATCTAGGAACATTATATTCTTTATGGAATTATATATATAACATTATATTCTTTAGGAACATATATTATTTATGTCTATTTCTCTAAAAACAAATAGAAATTATTTAATTAGCATTGTTAAAATGGATTTTAATATAAATTGACAGTATGATTTTATGCTTATTTTAATATGCTTGTGATTATGTGCATAATTATAATACTAATTCATAATTTAGAATCTCAACATTCCTACCAATTTCTCTTTCTAGACATTGTATGACAGCGTGTACCTGACTTTATACAATATTTGTTTTACTTCCCTACCTATTCTGATATATAGTCTTTTGGAACAACATATAGACCCTCATGTATTACAAAACAAGCCTGCCCTCTATAGGTAAGTATTTTCCATTAAATGTTCACAATATTTCTCATTGTAAGTAGTGTATTAAATAGTTATCAATTTTTTAAAGTATCTAAAAAATAAGTCAATTAGTGTCTTGGATTAAAACTTTACTAAGGAATGTACTATAATTGTCATGTGATTTAAAGTTATTGAATATCAAGGAGAAAGATTTGAATAGTCTTTCCAGTATTTGTGAGAATAAATACTTTCATCCTAAGAATGCATTGGGCAATTGGGTAATTTGAACTTACATTTACAAACAAGCATATTCTATTTTGTATGCTCAAAAGAAGTTATTCAGTTATTAGTGGTCTCTAGAATTCCTAAAAATGAGCTTATGTTTTTTTCCCAGATTCACAAGTAGTAATCAGTATGCAGTGCAGGGTTTAGGGTACTAATTCCCATCCCAGATGCCCTGCTTTATTCCTGGATCCCCAGAACCAAGTCATCACAGAGATGTCATTGGGACTTGCTCCTCAGGACCAGCTTATGGTTTCCACTCTAAGTTCCTATGAGATAATACTTGTAGAGGTAATACTTATTCAGATACAGATACTGAATAACTTAATTCCATTTCCCAGTATATCTGGGACAGAGATTGCCACGGATTATTCTTCCCGTGTTAGCTATTGTTGGAAATGAAGTTAATTCGGAGCCTCAGTGCTGAATCTAACTCAGATGACCTCCCTAAAGAGAGAGCATGATAGTAAAGTGATGAACAGAAGACGATAATAACAGATAAATCAGCTTTTACAATTAAACTGACATATTATGCCTATGTCATATTTCTTTATCAAAAGAGAAAATGGATTTGAATATACTGTGTGAACTATAAACAGTCACACAGATATATGATATCATAAGCAGTGGTTTATAAATGTGTGTTTATTTATTCTTTCTGTTAATAGTTTTAAGCATTTGAAATTTAAAAATCCATCTTGTCTTTTAATTACCAAATTATAATAATTTAGTAGCTAATTAATAAATTATTCCTAATATGTTCCTTTTTCTTTTTTTAATTTACAGAGACATTAGTAAAAACCGTCTTTTAAGCATTAAAACATTTCTTTATTGGACCATCCTGGGTTTCAGTCATGCCTTTATTTTCTTTTTTGGATCCTATTTTCTGATAGGGAAGGATGTATCTCTGCTTGGGAATGGCCAGGTAAAATATATAATTTTTTAAAGAATACTTGATGATATTTTGACTTGGTTTGATTTTTGATAACTTTTGTCATAAAAATAAAAGTAAAAGTCAATTTAAATTTTAAAATTTCAGCTATGAAATTAAAATGCAAAAATATAAAAAGTTCAGAAAATTTTTATTTAAATAATAGTTTTATACAAATGAAAATTCAAACAGAAAGGCAAGACAATTTAACCTTAAAATGAAATTTAAGTTATTAGACAATTTTGCTTTTCAAAAATTAGCTAACACAAGAATATATGCTATGACCTTTCATGCTGTTCACCTCAGGGTTACATTTTAATAATCGCAACTGTTTACTTTTGCTATTTTCATTAACCTCATATCTTATATGTCCTTATTTCTTATCATTAGAGCAAAGTGATTTGCATGTTATTGAAAATATTTCAAAAACATTTTTTCATGGTTATGAAATGCTGTACAACACATCGTAGTTTATTTCCTTAATTAGAGAATTTAAGTTTGTTTCTAATTTTTAGTGACTTCTAAAATAATTGAAATCTTAAGCATTCTTTACAGAAAAGAGAAAACCTGCGAGGCACAGTGGCTCACACCTGTCTGTAATCTCAGCATTTTTGGAGACTGAGGCTGGAGAATTGCTTGAAGCCAGGAGTTTGAGTCGAGCCTGAACAACATAGGAGTATTAATCCTCAGCTTATAGTTTTCTTTTCTTTTTTTGTTTTTGAGACAGAGCCTCAAGCTGTCCCCCTGGGTAGAGTGCCATCGCATAGCTCACAGCAACCTCCAACTCCTGGGCTCAAGCGAGTCGCCCGCCTCCGCCTCCCAAGTATCTGGGACTACAGGTGCCCGCCACAACACCCGGCTATTTTTTGGTTGCAGCTGTCGTTGTTTTGGCGGGCCCAGGCAGGATTCGAACCCGCCACCTTAGGTGTATGTGGCTGGTGCCTTAGCCACTTGAGGCACAGGCGCTGAGCCCTCAGCTTATAGTTTTCCTGTGAGGATTAAATGACATGTAGAAATTAAGCATAGTGGCCAGCATGTGGGAGTACTCAGGAAGTCTTAGCATTCATTGTTATTCATTACATTGGAAGACCCTGTTCTGCCCAACGCCACCTGACCTACTTCTCCCAGAAACTCTAACTGTGAAAGTCACCTCTTAGAACGTGCCATGCTCATTTCTAGTTCTGAGCCATTGCTTGTTTTCTCTCTCAATTCTCCTACCTGTGTTCTCCACAGTTGAGCCCACAGATGCTTTTCCTTTTGCTCCAGCTCCCTCCCATGTCTCTCTATGCTAAAATCCTTTCAGACTCTGTCTACTCTGTGTCTCCTTATTCAGCACTGGCTATGTTGACTGCTTTGTGTTTTCTGAACAGTTAAGGAGTAGAGTAGAAGTTGTTAGAGTGGAGTACTAAGAGAAGTAGCTGGAGTGATCCCAAGAAAGGAGCAGGAAAAAGAGTTGCAGTAGTTTGGGGTAAAGTCCAGAACAGTTCAGAAGTTAAGATTTTATACCAATTTTTTTATATAAAGCCTCTAGCAAAATTATGAATATTGTATGTTGATGAATTTTCAACAAATACTTTAGGAGTATTCACTTATCTTTCATTTTTCTTAAGCTGACGAAAGAACTATTCATCCTTCATATATATTTCTCAAATCTTTTTAATAGGCTTTTCTTCCCCTTAACACTGCTTTTTTGTGGGCTGATCTTTATCTTCACAGCACCATAGAAAAGATAACCACGCCATCTTCCTGACCAGGCCCTGTGGCTCATGCCTATAATCTGAGTATTTTGGGAGGCCAAGGTGGAAGGAGTGCTTGAAGCCAGGATTTTGAGGCCAGTCTTTGCAACATAGTGAGACCCTGTCTTTACAAACAATAGAAAAAAATTAGATGGCGTGGTGGCACATGCTTGTAGTCCCAGCTGCTTGGGAGACTGAGGCAGGAGGATTGCTTTTAAGCTCAGGATTTGGAGGTTATATAAGAGTTAAACTTACATAAAATTTCTTTAACTATTTGCAGACTTAAAGTAATCATAGTCTTTAAATAAAAGTATCAGTTAAGAACTAGGGTTTGTTTTAAAATACATTAGTATTGTCTTACCAATAACATCTGTCAAGAATTTATAGATTAGTAATTTAGTTAGATATGTTGTTTGGGTAATCTTTTCATTTTATTTTTTGAAATTAAAAATGAGTTTAAGGCTTTCATTTCTAGCAATCTGACATCAACTATTTTGGAGTTGATTTTAAACAGGGCTTCATAGACTACTACAGATTTATTTTTGATAGTTAGAGATTATTATTCTCATGCTACTTTAATTTATAAGCAGATTTATCATTAAAGTTCAGTCATTTCTTTTTATTAATAGAATTTTGATGAAAGATAACATCATAAAATATTTGTGAGAGATTTTGGTATAACTTTAAAAATTTAAGCCCCCCCCCCATAATATGCCATCTAGAAAAACTGACTTCCATGAAATCAATTTTGAAACAGCTTTATTGAGGCATAATTGACATATGATAAATCATGCATATTTAAAATAATGCAATTTGCTACCCTTTTTAACCATTTTTAAATGTACAGTTCAGTACTATTATTTACACTGTTGTACAGTAGATGTCCAGAACTTTCTCATTCTGCAGAACTGAAACACTATTCCCATTAAACAACTACTTCCTATTTTCCCCTCCCCTCAGATGCTGGCAGCCACCATTCTACTTTTTTTGTTTCTATGAATTTACTACCTATGAACTCTTTTTTTAAAGTTAAATAAGTATGACGACTCTTTTAGAATTTGCCAATGCTTTAAAAAAAGGCTAAATAATTGAAGTTAAATACTCATGAAGAATGTTTGTTAAGTGCATTATAAATTAGAGAAGTAACTAAAAACTAATGATTGTGTTTCTTAATTTTTATTTATTTATGTATTTATTTTTGAGACAGAGTCTCACTATGTCACCCTCAGTAGAGTGCTGTGGCTTCACAGCTTGCAGCAACCTCAAACTTATGGTCTGAAGCGAGTCTCTTCCCTCAACCTCCCAAGTAGCTGGGACTACAGGCCCCTGCAATAACACCCAACTATTTTTTTGTTGTTGTTGTAGTTGTTGTTGTTTGGCAGGCATGGGCTGGGTTTGAACCTGCCAACCTGGGTGCATGCGGCCAGCGCCCTACCACTGAGCTACAGGCGCCAAGCCTGATTTTGTTTTTTTGAAAAGCACTTACTGGCTAGGTGCCTGTGGCTCATGCGGCTAAGGCACCAGGCACACCTGAGCTGGCGGGTTCAAATTCAGCCCAGGCCCACCAAACAACAATAATGGCTACAACAAAAAATAGCTTGGCATTATGGCAGGCCGAGCCCAGCTACTTGGGAGGCTGAGGCAGGAGAATCGCTTGAGCCCAGGAGTTGGAGGTTGCTGTAAGTATGATGCCACAGCACTCTACCCAGGGCAATAGTTTGAGGCTCCGTCTCAAAAATAAAGAAAGAAAGAAAAAAATAAAAAGCACTTACCTTCTCCTATCTTGATCCTTATGGAATAAGTGATCTTAATCTAACAGTTTTGCTGTTGTATAAAGTATTTTTGGAAATAGCTTGTGTTTATATGTCTGTGATCTCAGCAAGGAAACTTCTTCAGGGAAGAAGCTGTTTAAAATTATAAATAAATATGCTACTTAAGATTATAGATAAGGAAAGAAAGTGATAGGAAAACATGAGAGAAGCAGTTCATATTGAAAGAGTTCACTCCCAATTAAAACAGACTCACACAAAAGGAGATGGAAAAGGCATCATGGCTGCCTTATTAGATGAGTAAAAATATTACAGTGACGGAAACAGGAAAGAGAGAACTGTCTTGTGGTAAGAGTAGAAAACTGTGGTGATACAGTATGTATCAGGAAAACGGCAGGAGAACAGTTTCAGAGGTAGCTGAGTTCCCATCCCAGTCTTTTGGGACGTTCTGTTTCTCTGGTGATTTCAACCAAAGGCTTCAGAAGAAAAATAGGATAAATGTATAAAGAATTCTTTGTTAACTCTAGGACCCAAACACTACTATCTAATTCTAATCATTCTTAGAGATATGATATGAAAATTACAAACTTGCTAACTGTCCTTTCAAATGTGATCTGGCCAAAATAAATCTTTTTGTTTTTTTCTTTTTTTTTTGTTGTTTTCTTTTGTTTTTTTAATTTTACTGAAGCACATAGGAATTCAAGGGAAAAATGTCTACCAATAATGATTTTTTTTCCTTTATGAAAGTGTACCAGTTTGAAAAATTAAAATAATTAAAATTTTTAAAATATGTGATTGGGAGAAAAAGTAAAAAGCTAGTAGATAAATTCCAGTTAGAATTCTCCTAGAGAGATATTAGAATTATCAAACCCTCAGCAACATTCTAAAAAAATACATTATATTTACTATACCATCACTTTAAAAATCAAATGGGAAAGACAAGGTTAAGGAGAAAAAGTAATTATTCACCTCTTCATTAAATGTTGTAGGTATGAACCATTTCCCGGTTAGTTGATAATATTAGCAATATGAGGCAGCAGTAATTATAATAATAAAATACATAATATTAATAGTATATCATTATTAAAAGAATATAATAATAGCAATAATTAGCAATACAAGTTAGACCTAGGAGGTGAAATTTCAGATTATAATTTTGAAGAAAATTAAACCTTTTATAGTATTTACTATTTTTTTTTTGAATTTTATAACAACTTCTCCCTTATTTCCTATTCCTAATCAATTTCTCTTTCATGCTATACATGTCATCAGCTGTTGAAAGTTAACCATCAAATGGTAAGAGATCTGTTAAGACACTAATCTGTATCTGTATTCCACAAGAATGCTACATCCTTTATTTCAATTTAAATGATTTAACTACTGTAATTGCCAATCAGGTAATTCAACACATCCAATTTAATTCCTATAGGTAGATACAGATTTTTTAATAAAAAGTTAATTTGTTAAAACCGTCTTTGTCTAGTTCATTATAGAATTTCCCTGCATGTTCATTTATTAATGAGACAGATATTTAAAGCACTTACTGTATCCCAGGTACTTAATAGAAAATTAGATATAGGTACACTTTAGAGGAAAACAGGATACCTTGCTTCTTATGGTGTTACTCAGTGATTGACCATATGTTACAATTGGTCAAAACATCAGTAGTAAGGAGTTTGTACTGGAGAACTGAACAACTAATTAATTCTAGGGAAGGTAATCTTGTGTAGATAGATGTATAGTTAAGTTAAACCAGATAAAGAAGTTTTTTTGTGTGAATTCTTTAAAACCTTCTTAACACAAGACTTTGTTCCTGCAATTATCCTCTCTTCCGTCACCATTAAACTCATCCTTTGTTGGATCAAAACCATCAACATACAGACACGCTTTAAGATGTTCTATCTCCTAATAAAAAACATACTGCTTTGGCTCACACCCTCCTTCTCTGGCTTTATTTTAGAGCAAAACTTGAAGAAGTGGTGTTTTCTCATTATTTCTTCTTCCTGGACTCCTATTGCCCCTTAAACATATTCTGTTGGGTCTTTCCCCCCAGCACTCCTCTCAAAACCTTGTCTTTATCGTTATCACCACTTCTGTGCTGCTGAATCCAAAAGTGTATCTCAGACCTTACAATCCTGACCACTGGGCACGTTTATAAAGCCTTCCTTCCCGCTATGTGATCGTCTCTGGGCTTCTGTAGCTTACTTTGGCATCCTACTATTTTTGACTATTCCTCCTCTTTCTTCTCTTCCTGCCCTTAGAATCAGGGTTTCTCAACCCCTGCATCATTGACATTTTGAGCAGGGTAATTCTTTGTGGTGGGGGCTCATCCTTTGAATTATAGAATATTTAGCAGCATCTCTAGCCTCTACACGCTGGAGACCAGTAGCATGAACACAACTAAAAATCCTCCAGACCCAGCCACGTGTCTTCAGGTCAGCAAAGTCACCCTAGCTTGAGACCCACTGCTCTCAGTGGGACAAAGGCCTAGGGCTCAGTCCTAGGCAATCAGTTCTTCTTTATCTGTCCACTGGCTACACTTATCCTTCCTATTTAAGAAATGATAGAGAAAACAGACAGGTTGGGATAGAAAGTATATTGAGCAGCTGTGAGACAAATCCAGGTTTAGTGATGTCTAAACATTTTAACAGGCCCTATTTAAGAAAAAATATCATACAATTATAAATGCAAACTTAAATATACATGAAAGTGATTTTGTGTGACACAAATATACCCTACTTAATCCAAACCAAATGTCAATTCAACTTACTTTTTTCTAGCTAGATCTATAAATGCCTTCCACCTGCCACTTACTCCATTACCAACGCTCAAGGGGAAATCAGATAACTGATGGATTACAGTTGAAATACATTATTTTTCATAATTTTACCCAAAAGTCATTTGAATGTTCTTATACAGCCTTGAATGAGGCCCGTGCAAGAGGAAGCCCTAAATTCTCCTCTATTTCTAAGGAAAATACCATGTAACATGCCCTAATGTAGGTCCAGTAAAACCAGGTATGGAAGGATAGACATGTGCTGCTATTACCACTTCCAGGCCTGTGTGCATCAAAGTATCTGTACCTGTGGCCCTGAAAAAGGAGACTGGCTCTTCTCCAAGAGCTAAGCTGAGACCCGCTGATTTGTCAGGATTCTGCATCATTTCTAGAGATAAAAAAAGCAGAAAAATAAGCCCAGGTTCAATATGGCTTTCTCTTATCTTGGCAAACTCCCAAAGTACCCTAAGTTAAAGAATTTCATGACATTTCATTGCTAATAATTCTGACTACTACTGATTGTTTATTACATGCCAGGTACCCTGTCCTCTCTGTGTATCTTAATTCTTACAGGAACCTCTGAGGTTTAACCTCATTTTTACAGATGAAGAAAGTGAGATGCAGAGAGGCTAAATAATTTGTTCAATAAATGCTAATTGGTAGAGATCTATGACTTAAAAAAAAGGAGCTTTTAAAATAATTTTTTAAACCAATGTTAACATTATAACTATTTTATAAACTGAGCATAAACTTCTGGTTATGTTCTTATTTGTGGAAATAAAATCTTAAAATTCTTTTGGGATTCTGCTTATTTAATAAACCTTAGTAAGTTTTGTCTATAAAGCCCAAGGGAATCCTTTCTGACAGGCATTAATTGCATTTTTCTCTGGGATCTTGTGAGGAGTACTTCTATTGTCTAGCATCCCTTCCCTTCTAGAAGAAAGTACGTTTCTTTCTTCTTACCATGTCCAAAAGTACTGTGTGGCAAGTACCTACTGTAACTTCTGGTTGGGAGGGTTTCAGAAAAATACTACAATTGTGATAGAACATGCCAGGTACTGTGGCTCAAGCCTGTAATCCCAGCACTCTAGGAAGCCAAGGTTGGTGGATTGCCCGAGCTCCTTGGTTGAGACCAGCCTGATCCAGAGCGAGGCCTTGTCTCAAAAAAAAAAAAAATAGTCAGGTGTTGTGACAAGAGCCTGTAGTCCCAGCTACTTGGGAGGCTGAGGCAAGAAAATTGCTTAAGGTCAAGAGTTTGAGTTTGTTGTGAGCTGTGATGCCAAGGGTGACAAAATGAGACTTTGTCTCAAACAAAAATTGATTGAACAGAGTTTTGTTATCATTTTTACCATGACAGGAATAAAGCAGTCACTAATGACTGTATTATCCTAAAAATAGTCTGTGCCACACAGTTCAAGCCCATCTTTGGGTTTTCAGTCTGATAATGTTATCTAAAGTACCACTGAACGTAAAAATAATAAGCATAGTAATGCTTTATGGTATTGCTTCTTAATACTCTTAAATTTTATTAATATAGTCACCAGTTTCAAATGTTAACTGGCTTAGACAGCTTAGTGATTTTTAGTAGAGAATGAAATTGTTTCTTACCTTACATTTGATTTAACATCATGTTAACACATACTGTAATAGTTTATCCCTTCTGTTTAGATGTTTGGAAACTGGACATTTGGCACGTTGGTCTTCACAGTCATGGTTATTACAGTCACAGTCAAGGTACGTCACTGAAATTAGAAACATGGACCCATGTTGTTATCTATGTGCATAATTAGTAGTTAATATTCTGCATTTCTCTAGCCAAAGATATTTTTTCATTTTTCATTATAAATAATATTACTGATTGGTATTTTAATAACTCATTTAAATTTTTGTCACAAAGTTCTCATTATTTTGAGAAGCCTCAGCTGACCTTTATGATCAAATAAAAATCTCTGAAATTTTGTTTCTTTGTATATAGTGCAAGAGCATAGTTTGTTTTATGCTACAGAGTTGAAATAGAACAATCACATGAAATTTCAATGCTGCTTCCTCACAGAAAAAATAAGCTAAAAATTTTTCAATTTCATACTAACACTCTTTCATAAATATTGCTTCTAAGGGATTATGCCATGGTACTTTTAGATGCTTAGAGTTAGTACATTTTATTCCTGAGTTTTATCTGAAAAGTTAAAGTAAACCTTTATTGTTTTATATTTCTAATAACTTTTTACAAAAAAATTTTAGATGGCCTTGGAAACTCATTTTTGGACTTGGATCAACCATCTTGTTACCTGGGGATCTATTATATTTTATTTTATATTTTCTTTATTTTATGGAGGGATTCTCTGGTAAGTAACTATATTGTATTTTAATTATATTGACTCAACTATAATAAACATTTATTACAAGTTAGATTATGAACAGATTGTGCACAGAATAGTTTTGAGGTCCTATCCTAATAATAAGTTTTTTTCAGTTTACCTTACTACTACACAGAAAAAAAAGAAACGAACATTTATTGAATATCTACCACATTCTAAATGTTTTATGTAAGATAATTTTATAGCCTCATCATAATACTTATCTCTGTTTTTTTTCCTTTGTGGAAACTGAGTCTGGAGGCCACAACGGTAAAAAAGTAGCAAGGCCATGATTTAAACCAGCTTGTCTTATTTCACAATTAATTTTCTCTACACTAACCATTAATTAACTATTAATTTATTAATGTGTACAATAAAATAAGTCACATAGAACCATTACATTTTAATTGTTGAGTTGACTTCTGTCTCAGAGGTAAATAGTTACATCATTTTCATTGGTAGAATCAGATACTCAACCGGCTACTTTGATAGATTAAAAATTAATGCTTCTCCTAAAATTCTTTGGTAAGTGATGGACAATTAAATATAAAGTCTCTGTCTTGGAGAATTTATATTACATTTGACTGCTGTGTCTAATCCATTTGTCAGTCAAAAAAACTATTTAGGACCAGGATAGGATACTCGTATGCATATTCTTTGTTTATAACCCTCTTTATTTCTCTTCTTTTTTCTGTATTTCTCCATATTCCCTGAACTGATCTATACAAAAACTCAAAAGGAATATCTTTGCAATACTTACTACCATGTAAAACTAGTATTTGTAAATGCATTTATTTTAAAATATATTTTAAAAGAAGAGCCTTTGAATAAAGCTTTCATCCTAAGATTTAGGTAATCAGTCCTTTAAACCACTCACATGACAATATTTTTGTTATATACTTTTTTCTTTCTTTTCCTGGTTTCTTATGTGTGGATTACTACATTATTCTTATGATATCCTACCACCAAGATAGGGTTATTAGTCAATTGCCTGCTACTTTCCTTTTAATAAAAACTTACCGAGCCTGAGCAAGAGTGAGATCCCATCTCTACTAAAAATGAAAAACTGAGGCAAGAGGAAGGACCCCTTGAGCCCAAGACTTTGAGGTTGCAGTGAGCTCAGAAACCATGGCACTGTACTAAGGGAAACAAAGTGAGACTTTGCCTCAAAACAAAAAAAACCCTTATATTTTGTTTTTAATATTTAAAGTCTATTTTGTTTTATTAGTTATTAAATTATAGTGATTTTGATTTTGAACATTTTCCTGGACTCTTAATTGTTACTATCAAACGCATCATGTTAATAGGATGTCCTGATTTAAGTGTTCAGTTTCTACTTTTATTAAGCCCACTGTCTTTATTTGCAGGCCATTTTTGAGCTCCCAGAATATGTACTTCGTATTTATTCAGCTTCTGTCAAGTGGTTCTGCTTGGTTTGCCATAATCCTCATGGTTGTTACATGTCTGCTTCTTGATATCATGAAGAAAGTATTTGACCGACACCTCTATCCCACAAGTACTGAAAAGGCACAGGTAACCACTTTTAATATTCAATGCCTTTTCAGTTGTGGGTCTTTGATGATAAATAGCGGTCATTATAATTTGCTGTGTCAGAAAATAGGAAACGACATGTTGCTGTAACAAGTATTTTGCAACATAAACATTGTTAAATGTGACATTTTTAAAGATGTTCCTTCCATTAATGTTATGACTACTGATAAATTATGAGTTCTTTAAATTACATTGTTAT